CTGTGTAGGAAATCAGTCGGTTTTTCGGAAAGATTACTTTTGTTTAATAAATAATTCCACAATTGCAATCGAGAAAAAAAAAACATTTCTGCTGGGACAGCTCTTTTGGCGTTCTGCCAGTCGTGTGGCGTGCGTGGTGCTGGATGGTCGTCGGTACGGAATTGTGATTATTTTCGGTATTGTAAATGATTGATGGCTATTGGAACCAGCTTTATATTATTTCCTACCGATTTTCCTATCAAATTATCACTTTGAAAGACCATTGCCCATACCTCTTCACGAGACGCAATCATATTCATCGTCGACGAAAATGGCGCGGGACTCTAGGTTCGTTTTGATCGAAATAAATCGTAAATTAAATAATAATCGATGATAAATATCACATTCTAGTGACACATTTTCATAAAATAAGGCATAAACTTTGCAAGAAAGTCGACATGGGATAATCAAATTCTTATTTTGCTCAAAAAAATCCTTGTAGTACTCAAATGGCTGAACCATTTCTGACGAACTTGTTTGCCAAAAACCGGACACTTAGCATGGGTCACTTGACCGTACCTCAGAGGTCACCGGTTGACCTAGGACCTTAAAATCGGGTACTAATCGCTGCGTCTCGTAACGGCGCATACGCTCGTCTTTTCCGCGAAGTTCTAGCTCAATCAGGGGCGAAACGGCGAGTGGAGGTATTACCAACTAGCCCCTCCCCCTCGGCCGCGGGGGCGTATGAAGAAAACCAATAGGTCCGGCGAGATTTGGTTTAAAATAAATGGCTAGTTAACGATAGGTATGTTAAGTAGCACTGTTCTCAAGATGTTTGCATACAAGTGCTGTGCACATAAAAACATAAAAATGTTGGCTGGCACGGCCAGGCAACGGCTCTGCAGCTGTAGCGCTGTTTCAGGGAATCAGGCGCTTTATAAATTACAAGCGCTTTATATAGGTACCTTGCCCCAGCCCGTACCTATCAGGTATAGATCTCAGGCAGCTTTTGCCAAATTGTCAGGGAACTCAGATTTGTTTTTCAATAGAAAAACACAATTCTAAAGAATAGTGTTTTAACTATTGACAACAAACCTTCGGTTACATATTTACACAATATGAAATTTCATCATTTCACGATTCAGTACGCATTAGTGAATTACGATGCTATCTAGAATCAGAAACGGTCCAGTTGCGATAAACTTTTGAAATAGCGAAAGAGAAACAACCACGGAAGGGCTATGGCGAACGCATTACCTACCGATTATTTGCCGACCTCAAGCGACGCAAACAATTGCAACTGTTTCTGTGAGATTTTTTTTTCATAAAAAATACATATTTCTGTCCGGGAAATGGATCGCGACCAATATTGGGAATAGGAGCCGCGAACCGTGCCCTGTCCGTATCATTGTACCCGATAGATAAGTACGTATATCTAAGGGGTAAGGCGGAGCGCTTACCAGTATCGATCGTTATGTCGATCCCAACTATTCATATTTCCTCACTGGTCTGTCTGGTGAAAATATGAGCTCCTAAACTGAGCTGAGTGACCGGTAGTAAATACATTTAGCGTTGGTTGCATTGCAGCCGACGGGCGCCGAGTGATCTGTGACGTCACGAATCAGTAGTTCTTCCACTGCCCATAGATGACGCCTAGCGTAGCTTACACACTCCATAGATGGCGCTACTAAGTGGCGTTGCCACTTCTCGCAACCGGAGCAGCCTACCTTTCCACAGAGGGGCATTCCACGTCAAATCGAACAAAAATCGGCTGTTTTGCACCTTACCATCAGCGATTTCATTATAAGTTTGTGAGCGAGTTCCTGTGTCGCCCCGGACATTACATTGATGTTTTTTGCACATTCTGACCACAGGTCTTCTAAATATAGGGCATCAAATTTTTACAAAATGTTGCATCTTTATATTTTTGAACGACCATAACTTTGGTTGTACTTGTTTGATTTGAATGAAATAAACCTTACTGTTTAGGTAATTTCTTAAGCATTTGTTTAGAATTGCATCGACTTAAATATATGACCTTGAAATTTGCTTAACTCTGTTCTTAAGCACAAAAATTGAAATAGCAAAAAACACGCCACCTTCGATTTGGCTCATTTTCATATATTTTATTGCCTACCATATTCTTAACAACCTGTGAAAAAATTAGAGTGGGCCATTCATAAGATTTGAAGAAAATGGCACATATGCAAACGTATGTTAGCACGCGCAGTGGAGAGGGAAGAGTGAATTTCGCCCCACCCCTCCTGTTTTTCGCCAATATCTCATAATATTGATGCGAAATTACTTATGGCTACCTGTCCAGAATTGAATTGCACATCTCATCGTGCAAGCAATAAGAAAATCGGTTCACAACTGTTCTAGTAATAGCGGTGTAAAGTGAACATCCTGTCGCCGCGGCGACGCGGCGACTCGGCAGCCGGCGCCGACCGCTACGCGCCGCCTGAATTGTAGACTGTGCCGGGACGGAACGGAACGGTTCCGTCTTTACATCGCGCTCCTTACCGCTGATTACGTTCGATTCGCGTCAAATTTTGTGAGAAGACTAAAAAATGTACAGGCAATCTTATGGTGAAAGAATTCTGAAAATAGGTTGGTAAACAATTGAAATATGAACGTGTAAACACAAAATTGTGACTGCTGCGTTTCCCGCGTCGGCCGATCCCGCCTCAGCCGGCGACATGTTACTCTTAGCAGGACTCTAACTGCCATATTTATTATCGGATTAACTAGAAATTCCCCATACATACTCAAAAATGTATGTTCTTTCGTATAGTGAAGATCAAAAGACGTGAAGATATCGTTGCGTGATAATGTTTTCGTTGAATTTATTTCATGATGCATTTCCACACGGCTCAAAATTCACCGCAAAATACCGTTTGCCTGAGACACTTTTACAATGGAACGTGAATGCTTGACTACGATGACTATGCATTTCCATTCTCGCAGAGTTTGGGATATCACTAATCAGCAATCATTCATTTCAGAAAGTGTACACAAGCAAGCATGTCTTGACTCTGTCTTTCAAGGTCACGCGCGGTTGCGTGATGTTGATGCATGAAAACGGCGTTTGCCGCGAAAGTTATGAATGGCCCACTCCAATTTTTTCACAGATGGTTAGGAACATTGTGACGGACATAATATGTAAAAATTACTCAAATCGAAGGTGGCGTGTTTTTTGCTATTTAAATTTTTCTGTTTTAATTCAAGGTCAAATGCATTTCAAGGTCACTTCAATTTAATTTTATAATTAAAAATCAAAGCCTTATCAATTGCCTACAAGACCCTGTTAATATCATTTTGATACAAGAAAAGGAACCAGAGTTATAAGCATTTAAAAAAATGATGTGTGGCATTTTTGGCTATATTCGATGACCTATATCTCGGCGATACGTTATCAAATTTCGAAAATATTATACGTAACTCAGTTTTGAACCATGCCCAGTCTGCCTACAAATTTTCAGAAAAATCGAAGGGGATGACGGATTTCGGTGTTTGATTTGACGTGGAATGCCCCCAGAGCCTTGATTACCCTTGGCTGCAGCGGCGCTCGGCCCAGGCGGCGTAATTCTTTTTTCCACCCAAAGGAAGGCGCTATACGGAGAATATCCCATTGCGTCATTGAAAAGTGACTTACACCTCGCTGAAGCCAGCTGGCTGCGTAGTGTAAGAGTTGTTTCTGTTTGGTTTGGTTACCAAGAAGCATCTTCGGGTATAGCGCCTTCCTTTGGTTGGAAAAAAGAAACACGCGCCCCGGCGTGCCGGAGGAGAGTGGGCGGAGCCAGGCGGCTGACGTCACCCCAAGTATGACGCACGCAGCACTAGTGCTGCAGGGACCCGAACAGTCCTCGGGTTATGTGCGTCTAGTGGATGGGCACGCTAAGGGTGGCGTTTTTCCCGAAAAAGAAGTATGAATTTTGTTTTTTTTTTTGGTCAGGAGAGGTCAGTCAGGTAACCCGAGTTAAAACACACACACAAACACACATATTAAGGAAAAATATGTGTACGTTCGCTCCGGAAAACATACTGTAGCTAGCGTCATATATATATATGGCGCTTCATTCGCGACATCTCATTCTCTATCTACACTATGGATCAAACGACTCAGCGTGTTCGGAATTTACCTCAGACTATCTCAATTTTCTACTCAAATGCCAGAAGCATAAACAAGCACCGCTCGACGTTGCGGGACGACAATCTGCAAAAACACGACATAATAGCAATTACGGAGACGTGGTTAACTGCCAAGGTGAGCAAAGTCGACCTGCAGCGAGACTTCCCAGAGCATCAGTGGTATCGTCGCGACCGCGGCGGAGTGAGAGCTGGCGGCGGAGTGGCCTTGATAGTGCGGAAAGGACTGCGACCGCGTCAGCTACCGTGCCCCCACAGTGTAGAGGCACTGCTAGTTGAACTACGGGCGGTGCAGGTGACGGTGGCAGTATTTTATCGTCCCCCAAAAGATAAAAATGCACTTTCGAAAATGATGGGGTTCCTAATGCATAAGAAATTTACAAACTTAGTCATTGTCGGAGATCTAAATATTCCCGAGATAATTTGGAAGCCGATAGATGAAGCAACAATGCCGATATTACAGAGGCAATCAAAAAGAGCGAGGCTTCTCACAGACTATTGTAGTAAAATGAATCTTACACAGTGGGTCCATAAACCTACGAGGCTTAAAAGTAACACTACATTGGACCTCATACTGACGTCATCATCTCTTCAATGCTCTAACATTACTGTTCAGGATAATCGGTTTGATTCAGACCATGAAGAAATTATCGCTTTCTTAATGATCTCTTAATAATGATCTCTTATCTCTTAATAATATCTTAATAAATTATCTCTTAATAATTTCTTAATTATCTTAGCTTAATTATCTCTACGACCACCGCAAAATGTTGACCTTCAATGAAACACATCCGCACTTGAAAATGAAATAATTCAATTCTAATACATAACACATATTCTAATGTAATGTAACAAACTCAGATATCTCTTACCTCAAGAATTTGGTCGCCACGCTTCAGGCCAATATCTTCTGCCTTGCTGCCTTTCTCCACCTTGGTGACAAAGATACCGAAGTTCCTCTCGTAGCCGCCCAATAGGCAGAACGGTAGCGGCTCATCACGATTCGGGCGTGCCAGGGTGACCACACGCACGCGAGATTTGGCCGCACACTCGAAGTTGAGAAGGCCCAACTGTCGACCAGAAAGAACACCGTATGAGACACATTATCAGCGATTTTCACCACAAGCAAATTTTTTCACCACGAGCGGATTTCATCGAGAACGTACATTTCAACTACGAACACACCCATATTGCGATTACAACAGCACACACAAACAAACAGCAGCAGCACGCAAGCAAGCGCGCTTCTTTGTGCTCAAACCGGCGAGGCCGGTCACAACGGCGCCCACGGCGACAGCGAGCAGCGGCAGCGACAGCGAGCAGCGGCAGCGGCAGCGACGGCGGCGGCGACTATACAGGATAAGCAAAACACCGAGGACCGAGGAGCCCAACGCGCGGAAACGGCGCGCACCACGTCGGCCGCCGGCCACGTGGTGGCCGGGGCCGGTTCCGGCGGGGGGGGGGGGGGCGCCGGAACCAGCCCCCGCCAGTAAATGTCTACTGTTGCAATGTATTGGTGTCATAGTATAGAATAAATAATACTACCACTGAAGGAGTGTCTGGAATGGATCGTGAAGCAGATCGGACGAACGAACCGGCGGCGGAGGCGGCAGTGGGAGAGAAGTATTTATGGGTATTTAAATATAGCCAGCGAACAACAAGCTGTTCGGTGGCGGTGGCGGCGGCCATGATGGGCGGTAGGCGGTGAGTGGCGGTGGCGGCGGCCATGATGGGCGGTAGGCGGTGAGTGGCGGTGGGCGGTCTGGGTTGGGCGGTAAGCCCAACCCAGTGAGCGGATGGGCAGTAAGGTAGAGTGGATCACGGGCGGGCAGCAGCTGTCTGGCGGCACGCACGGACGGATTTTACAGTCCGATTAGCCGGCTAAACCCGGGAAAAAGGAAGTTCAGCGAGGTTCACAGCGCGGCTTCTACTAGCCGCACATAACACGGACCGATGACTCAGTCGGCTGACGGCTGAGTCAGCCGCGTCGGTGTGGCAGCGTGGCACGTCACACCAGCAGAACACACCCCACGGCGGGCCGCCAGGTTATGTGCAACTAGTGGAAGGGCAGGTCTAAGGGTGGCGTTACTTTCACGAAAAACTGCCTCGTCAGATCCAGCGAATCTTTTCTGGATGGAAGAAAATTTGGATTCCACGACAGTTGATTTGGTACTTGGAGCTTTTGATAACGCGAAAAATAATTTTGTAGGAAAACACTGGGATCAAGGCTCACTAAAGCAAACCTTGACTTTCATATCGACCCAGTTTCATAATAACCCCAGGCAGCATCGAAAAGAACTGGGTATAAAAGAAGATCCATAAAATCTCTCGAGTCTCGGCACATTTTTCGGGGACGGCTTTCAGAAGATAACAAGATAAGACACGAAAATGAGCGTTTGCAGCAGCCAACAAGTTTGTTTATAAAGTGTGGTGGCAAGACAACCAACCAACTCTGTATTACACAGTAACACAGTGTCATCCACTGAAGACAGGCACCACGGCCAGCCCAGGTGTGAGTTATGTGCATCTACTGCCAGCCACCTGCAGCGGGGTGGCGCCAGGCTAACCTTTCCCACTCGGCACCGCCGTGAGGGGGGCATATTCACCCCGCCACCCCCCCCCCTTCACCTCACCCCCGGGTTTCAGCTACACTGCGGCGCAGCTAGGCGGCCACCCGAGTCACTGTTGTGATGTTAGAGGCCTCCCTTCCTAGCCAAGACTCCCACTAACAAACTAGGCCGACCTATATTTGATAACGACAGACAGCGGCGGCCGGCGGCGGCGGCGGCGGCGGCGGCGGGTAGGTAGGTATGAACAGCTAGTGTCCGACGAAGAATTGTGAGCGGTAAACGGCGGCGTTGGCACCACTGGCGGCAGGCCAAGCGGCCTCGCTCGCCATCGACAGAGGTGGCGCTACCAGACTCGGCACGGAATTACGAAACGAGATTGGAATGTCTGTGCGAGAGCGAAAACCAAATTCGGTCTGAATCCATATATGCTTATTGCTTACACTGGCTGCCAGAAGATGCTTGCTTGGACGTGTCTCAGGCGCGTACCAAACTCGCTCAATATTTTAGCAGACTTGCCAGAGAGACAAATTTATCAACGAGATACGTCCCATTCTGACATGTGAAAAGGTGCGAAGCGGTTTATAGATTTTTGGCGTGTGATGATCACAAAATATCGGGCCGATTTTCGAACAGAAGCTTCGATAAACGCTATAATCTAGGGACCCATTCCGGTATAAATCCATTCCAGTGTATTATTTGTAGGTATCGCAGATAAAATTCAAAGCAGTGCTGCAATCCAGGCTGAATGGAAATATGAATGATAAGTCCAAAAAATGCAAACGTGATCAATATTTTAATAGTACAGACGGCACCTAGTCATAAGGCTGCGCACATGACAAGCTGAGTGTTAAAAGTATTAATTTGACAACTGTGACAGTCTATACAGAAACACACAAAAAACCTATAGGTAGCTTCATCTAGTCCGACATCAAATCGTCAGCCTAATTCGAACTCCTTATTTTCTCAGAGTGACGATTTAACATGAAGCTGCAACAGCGAGTTAACATGGAGCTGATCTAGCCCGTCCATGTGACGTCCAATTCAAACTCATCCCTCCCCCGCCAAAAAAGGATCTGCGACTTACCTGTCCGTGCATTTTATTGCTCTCCAGACACGCCTCGAAGCGTTCCAGAAAGTCCATCATGGCCGGGTCGGTTTCAAAGTCGATGAAGTGACTATTGACCCACTGGAGTACGACCCGCGTGACCCGGTCACGGTACTCGGGGTCACGGAACCTGGGGACGGGGGCGGGGGTGAGGGGTCAGAGGAGGACTACAGGGTGTGACGGGGGTAAAGGGGTAAAATATGGAGACACCAGACATCTCAGTAAAACCGTTATTCACGTATAAAAAGTATGAGCAATGTCGACTATATGTCGATAATATGTCTGATATGGACCTTTCGAAAGTGGGTCGCTTGTCAGAAGAAACGGTAATAGCGTAAAAATAATTTTCATCTGGGAATAATTCCTAAATTCAATAACAAAGAGCATCTCAGATCACAAAAAAACATTCTCTTAAAGATACTGGTTGAGAAAGTCAGTATTTTTTCTACTCGCCTAAATATATGTCTACAATGCGCACAGCAAAGCAATGAACATCAAGAACGAAGTCTGTCTGTTGTTGAATAATTAATATAAAAACCCCACCACCAAGTGGCAGCCCCTCCGCGCAGTACTAGCGACCCCTGCAGCCGATGACCCTGCATGAATCACATATGTGTGATTCGACATCCAGGGTCCACCCAACTGGATGAATCACATATGTGTGATTCATCCAGGGTCCACCCAACTGAGCCAAACGGTCACACCTCACGATAATTCACATAAAGTTTCAAAGACCAGTCCCGGTCTCCGGGGTTCTGCTTCACTACACGACGCTACCTGAAGGTACCTGGTATTGGCGCTCAGTTTCCATGGGAACGTAAGCAGAAGTGCCCATTTTTGCTCACGTTTCCATGGATACCGGCAGTGTCAGGTACCATCATGTGCAGAAACAGGGCTCAGTGTCCAAAAATTAAGTTACGGTTTGAGTGTCAGAGGGGATATTCCTAAATTCAAAGAGGAATGAGAGTGGAAAATTGCGAATCAGAAGGGCACGAAAAAGAGCGGAAAACAGGGATCATCAATTTATAAGTGAATCTTCGAGGATGCGGGGCTGCTTTAAACGGTACTTTAAGGAAATTATATGGAGGTAGGTAGAAGCCAGCCAACAACATACACACAGATGGCGGCGCTCTATATTGATAAAAGTTGTGAAAGAAAAATTGTTCTGGAAAATTGTAAATTGAAAATTAGAAAATTGAAAAAGAGTGTAAACTTGAAAGTCACTTCCCATCCACACTGGCAATTCATGGAGCACTGCCTGGGCTTACCATTCCATCAACTGATTCGACAGAGTCGTCGCCTCCGGCAGAAAGATTCTCCTGATTAGCAGGAAGTCCTCCACATAGTACGGATCGATGAGCGAGTTTTCAGCCATCAGCTGCGTCATTAGCCGCTCGGGCGTGCCCTTGATGACACAGTGTCCCTTCCCGGAGCCGGCGTCCAGGATCCTGTGCTCGGTGACCAGAACGACCTCGCCGTTCTCTTCATGGCGTCGGGTGTTCTCTTCGCCCTGGTGAGGACACAGAAGAGTTAAGAATGGATGTATATATTCCAAAGACGCATCTACCAAGAAATACTTATGTCTAGCGAAATGTTTACCCAAGGGAGAAGTGCTCAGCAGGGTTCAGGATGGTGTGAAAGCATTTATAGCATAAATGTTCAGTGAAGAACTAACTAAGATAAGGTGTGACATTTGACCAGAGTTCAAGTGGTGTTGGGTGATATAAATGTCTGGAATGCTACATACAGTAGGCGTTTCGATGAATGAGAAGACACCCTCCAAGAATTTGTTGAATAAACACTGATTGACCAGACTATCGGGTCTCATACCCCAGGAAGATGAGTGCTGGCAAGGGGTGCAGGGACGACGGTACATTCTTCATTGAAACTGATGAGTCCTAGTCAAATTTTCAAGTTCTAGACATGAGTTAGCTTGCGCATAAAAATACTAATATCGAACGAGTAACAAGCACACATGTGATTCATCCATCCGAACTACCAACCGTTAAGGCTGAAACAGACTCTTTCCGCGTTCAGGAAATCGCATGCGAGAGCCTATATTGAAATACATTATCATTCTTCCCGCATCAATCGCATCCGGGAGGTGCGTGCGATTGATGCGAGCGTGCTTCCATGTATTGGAATAGGCTCTCGCATGCGATTTCCTGACTGCGGAAACAGTCTGTTTCAGGCATTAGACATTAGGATCCTCGGAGAATTAAAATGCACCAAATCCTGGCGCAATACCCGATAAAATTGAACCTGGGTGATTTCAAATTGATGACATGTGATGCAATATCTTATCAATATCAGTTACGGTGATGCAATATTTTACCATAGCTAATTTATCAACACACACACCAGCTGATGCAGTATCCGATAGCAGACTGTCTGAGTGATACAATATTTACCGTATATAATGTATCAGTCCATACCTGATGCAGTATCCGATAGTAGTCTGTCTGGGTGATGCAATATTTACCGTATATAATGTATCCATACCTGATGCAGTATCCGATAGTAGTCTGTCTGGGTGATGCAGACGAACTGGCAGTCGTCGCACTTTGTTCGCATCACGCCCCGGTGATACAGCTTCTCCATTGTCGGAGTGATACCGAAACTGGTGATACAGAACGGACACACAGTTAGTGAGGAAGTGATACTGATACTGAAGTGATATCGAGACTGGTGATACAATACAGATGCACGATTAGTGAGGAGGTGACAGTCCAGCAGTGATACCGAAAATGGTGATACAAAACGGATACTAGTGAGGTAAGTGATACCAGTTACTGTCTCAGTAACTACCTGCCTAACCCATCCCTCTTCCTTCCCCCATCCTAGCAGAGCTCTCTTTTCTTCCCCTCCCTCCCTCCCTCCCTCTCTCTCTCTCTCTCTCTCTCTCTCTCTCTCTCTCTCTCTCTCTCTCTCTCTCTCTCTCTCTCTCCCTCCCTCCCTCTCTCTCTCTCTCTCTCTCTCTCTCTCTCTCTCTCTCTCTCTCCGCCTCTTCCCCCTCTCACCTATCTCCTAGTCCCAGCTCGGTGGTAGGCAGACCGGGTCCGCTGATTTCCACCTGACCGTTGACAATCACCGACCACGAGTCGAGTTCCTCGCCGTCCTGCATCACTGTCGTGCCCGCCTTCTGCACCACGGCGAACACCTGCGCACCACCGAGAGGTCAAGGGTTCGAATCCAGACGGGGGTGAGAAGGGTTAACCCTATTCCGGGCGGGGGACGGGGCTTTAAGGCCCCCCTTCGGGTTTTTCTTGTGCCATTGCTAAACGCCGCAAGGCTGAAATCTCATACTCGGTGACTTTTTTCTCAACATTCATTGCACACATTTTGACAAAAAAAAAAAGTTGCCGGGTCAGGTCAGGTCAGGTCACCAGAGGCGGTTTGGTGACCCCACCTCAGAAAAGTTTGCAATCACGCCAGAGCTAGAGTTTTTGACCGATCAATTTCATCTCTTCGGGTTTTAGTTAGGGTACCAGCATGTGCAATTTGTATATCTCAGAATTGTTATATCTGTGACCTGGTCAGGCCAGACTCGTGACCTTTACGTTGCAAGCCTATGGGAAAATAGTGAAGCGCCTCCTGCTTCGTGTAAACTAGTCAAAACCACCCAATTCTTTCAGTATTATGGAAGATTATCTCATCGGTGATGATCCTGGTGCCGCTAATTGACAGGGGGACCGGGAAAGGTCATCTGAGGTCATGTGACGTCATAAATCACTTTTCTGTCAATAAATCACGACATGATGGTGCTAAAGACTTGTAAGTGGTACCTAACTGCTCGCCTGGTCAAGGCACGTCGTTTGGTATGCAGCATGACCATACCCCACAACCTCATTGATGAATGACCTGACCTTGACCTCGGGTCAAATTTCAAATTGACCTGTGAAGGTCATCGCGCACTTATTTCGCATCGCCTCGACGAGAGCAACAAAAAATGTATTAATTTTATGTCTCTATTTGTCTTAGTTTAAAAGTTATATAGGTAACTAATTCCAAAACATTTTATCGTTGATGACCTCTGGTGACCTCAATATTGGCCCGACCTGAAAATGTTTTCCGTAAAAGTTGTAGATCTTTAAACGACCTATCAAACGCCGTTTGCCGTTTGTCGTTGCGGTGTGTAGTTTTTGAGATCTGAAGGGGGGGGGGGGCCGAAAAGGCCCCCCTCGCCCAGAATCGAACCTTTCAGAGCCCGCCCGGAATAGGGTTAAGTGGGCGCTGGAGAATTTCATCTGCAGTTGTAGGCGATTTTCAAAGTGAATAATCACGAGAAAGAATACATGGTGAGTAGAAGATTTAACTTATTACCTTGTTTCAAAGCATTTGAATAAGGGTACTGAATGATAGCGTAATTGAATAGTTATACAGACCATAAGCGCAGTTCTGCTTCTTACGAAATCGATATCTTACGAAACTTTTGATTTGCAACTCTTGGCCATCAGATAACTATCATAAATAATTCTTACAATACTGACAATTGCCTCTTAAACTTGATAACTCCAACGCAGGTCCCAAGAAGCCGCAACCACTCTCCTCTCCTTTCCTCCCTCCCTCTGCCCGCTCTCACCATCACACTGCACAGGGCGCGCCGCACGCTGAGTGTCATATTACTGAACGCCCGCAGGTGTTGGGTGAACTCGAGCAGTATTTCCACGTCGTCTTCTGTACGGTTGGCCGGGTCTGTTTCCAGACACTCCCGGACCGCGTCACTGGGAAGGAGGGGCGGGAAAGGCGTCAAATTTTGAGACCTTTGAGATAGTAAGATGACGTGGTTAGAATATGTTGAAGCCAGGTTAATAATTACGAAGTTATATGTCGTTCGTGGGTAAGTTTGCTTTTTCTTTTGGAAAGGTTGCCACCAAATCATTTGTAAGCTTGAATGAAGGAAAAAGTGAGCCTAGACATGCATCAATTGGGTGTCTGATCACCGAATCATGTGATCATGATCATCAATACGTCTGATCTGATTACAGAGAAATTACTACAATGCATCAACACCCTACCGGGTTGCTAAAGTCCATGGTCGCCATTAAACCCTCCTACCCTCCCCTCTCTCCCTCCTTCCATCCCTCCCTCTTTCTCCCTCTCACCGCGGGTTGATGGAGTCCATGGTGGCCATCAGATCCTCCTCGTCTTCGTCAGAGTCCACGGTGGACTCAATCAGACCGGTCAGATCTACATCCTCGGCCGGGTCAATACTCGACTGTAAACGTCGCGGGGGGGGGGGGGGTCGGGGTGTTAATTCAAAACTCGACTGGAAACGGGGAGAGAAAGGGATCAAAAGGATAATCCACATGAATCGACATTCGACATCCTCAGCCAGGTCAATACTCGACTGAAAACGACGCGGGGAGGATTCAAAATTCGGCTATAACGATGGGATACAGGAGGGGGTAATTAAAAACTCGGCTGAAACGAAAAACGAGAGGGGTCAAATGGATACTCAACATGAATCGCCATCCTCGCCCGGGTCAATGCTCAACTAAAAACGGGGGCGAGAGGGGTCAAATAGTTACTCGACCGAAACAGGAAGCTTGATTGTAAAGGTTAAAACAGATCACGTCAGTGTCCCCATATCAGGATCTCTCTGATTTGTATAAACGTCAACACTCCTCTGACCCACCTGTAGCGACTGCATGGTATCCGATCCGCTGTAGGCCGAACTGGTGTCTGACGAACACCGGGAGCCCGTGTTCTTGTACAGCGATAGCAGGTGCATGTTGTTCACCAGCACCTGTGTACGGTGCGAGCGGAGACCGGTCAGATGGTGGGCTAAACAATATGTGCCACTCACGTCATCACAGGTAAATAATCATATTATTTCAAACACTTCTTATATTTAGCTGCAAACTAGTGCCGAACATCACCTAAAATGTAGTGGAGCTAACCGCGGATGAACGTGGCTCATTTAAAGTTTCGTAGTGATGGAAAAATGCATGAATAATATATTTTCCCAGCCTACATCCTGACACCCCTTCGATGACGCACCATCTTTAACCTCATCAAGTCTACTTTTATTCATTTATCTATTTTTTATTTGCAGATCTACGTCTGTAGTATGTTCCCCTCATTGCGTATCCTCATTCCAGGACCTGTGGATACCCAATGTTGACGCTCCTAGAGTGAAACTTAACTCCTGTCCCATAGCCACTGCACATGTGGCTTACCTTTTCCCCAGCTTCCTCCCATCCCCGTCCCTAATACCTGCGGATCTTCCTGGTTGGCGAGCCGGTAGCGAAAGCCGACTTCTTTCAGTTCCCCACCCCTGTGCCTATGAGAGATTCCGCTACCCCTTCCACACCTGATAACCATACGTCTCCTACCTGCGTATCTTCCATGTTGGCAAGCCTCGAGTGAATGTTGAGTCGACGAAATAAGTCTAAATCAAGTAAGCTGACCTCTCGTCTCCATTCCCTCCCAGCCTTATACATTCCCTCCAGCACCCTTCATGTTTCCTACCTGCGGATCCTCCATATTGGCAAGCCGGGAGTGGATGCTGACCTCCTCCTGTTCAAGTGCTAGCAGTCGCTCCAGGTTTGCGGCGGTACACGAACGTCTCTGGCCGCTATACATGAGGTTACTGTCCGGGTAGTCAATCTGTAGGAGGGGTCGCACGGTCAGGTCAGAGGGGGTCAAGGGGGAAACAGGGGTCACAGGGTGAGGTCATATGGGCCACTGGGCAGGTCAGAATGCAAATGATAAAAATCACACCTAATCCTATCATACAGGTCAAGGCAAGGCCCTAAAGATAGTCTGAGTCACGATGTATTCATAATGTTACGGGTTGGACTGGAGATTCTGATAAGTCAGGGACTGGACAAATTTGGTAGCTCTGACCTCAGTTCTGACTCTGACGTAGATCTGACTAGCTTTAACACGGTACAACCAATTCGACGTCCAATAAAATGTCAGACAAGCTACCATTTATTATCTATAATGAAGAATACCTCAGCACAACACACTGCATCAAATTACCAGCCAATGAAATCCGCCGAGCGACTCACCACAATCATTTCCGCCGGTTCCAGGATGACACAATCGTTCACCCGCTGACCGATCCGCTTGCCGAAACTGAACAGAAACAATAACATAAGTCAGAATAATTCTGGTGTAGCATTGAAATGAAGGCAAAACCTGAGCAAGAGAAACCATACAAGAGCAATAACAAAGTGAAATATGAAATGCATAACTTTGACACATTTGATTACTGTGCTGTTGAGAAGTCCAACAGGGCAATTGGTAAAATAAACAGTCCATTATTCGATAGTAGGTAGCGACCTATGAGCCAGTTACAAGAAAAACATCGGCAAGTACTAAGATTAATGGAACATTTTTTTTGTGACGATTAATCCAGTCTTGACTAAAACGGCCAAAGACGTTTGATATCCGGTCCTCACCTTGATCCGGGGCAGAACATGGAGCCATCAATGAAGACGTAGCCGGAGATGAGAATGTACCAGCATGACGCCCGCTCCCCGCGACTGAAGGGGGGGGGGAGGGGAGACGAGGTTAAAGATCACGACTGCACGGGGAGATCACAGGGGAGACAGTACAAGAATGTGGGTAGAATGACTGGCGACGGTTTTTGAAACGAGATACGTTTGAATTTTGAAACGAGATACGTTTGAAATGATAAGATTAATATGAAACAACGAGATATGTATAGGCAATGACCATACAGTTATCACATAGTTTTCATTACCAACTATCGCATCCCTTTTAGTTTAACAGATAGAGGTTATCATATTACAGCTACGCATATATGTAGACAGTAACGCCAACCACAGTAGTATCAATCAAATCTAAAACAAGTCACTCCTCCATCCACCCTCCATTGTCAAACGAACCCATACGAGAAACCTTTAATATCCATTCTACCCTCTAAAAGTAAGTTATATCCAACTAAACCCTTTCCATCGCTCCACAAATTTCACTAATAATCCCTCCCTCCCAAACCCAAACCCTCTCAGGCCCCCTGCCCCTCCCGCCCCCTACAGCCGTGGCCAGTCGTATCCCTAAGATTCGCGTCGTCACAACACTCACAAATAGAGTATATCGTCCTTGTCTCTTCGCTCGTATCGTATGGCCTTGCAGAGCGAGCGCAGCGCCGCTTCACGGAGGTTGGAGAGCGCTTCGAACTCCTGCAGGGTCTCGAACAACGTATGAAGATCCTGTGGGAAAGGTCAGGTCAACGGTCAGAATAGAGGTCAGGTTAGAACGCGGGGCATAGGTCAGACCAGAGGTCAGGCTAGAGTGCGGGGTTATAAGTCAGACAAGAGGTCAGGCTATAGGTCTGGTCGAAAGTTACGTTGCAAGTCGGGTAAGTTTAGCAATTTGGACAATTGAGCGGGTAGGTAGACAAGTCAGAGAGGAGAATATGGCAGTTTTGCAAGTTAAAGGTCAACCAAGAGGTAGACTGATCGCAAATGAAGCGGATAAGAAAGTCACTCGCTAATATTTCACGGTATTGCAAAATACTAATTACAACCATTACCAGCAACATATCCCAATGCATTTGATCATTATGGGCAAAATTCCAGAAAAGCCCATCGGCACAGTACAGATACCGAACACCGTACCGTACAAAGCGTTACAAATGCCGTATTTCCCACGTCCCATAATCCTTCTAAAAACTAGTTGCGTCAACCGACAAGATAACCTTACAACGGATTACATGTCTCATTTGCAATTTACTCAAAGCTAGAGTACGCATCGTTTTGCTAATTCGAAAAAAGCGCAAGCCTACAACATTGTCGGCGTTCTCAGCAGCAATTTAGTGCACTGATCTCATCTCTTTTGAGCGTAGATATCTCTAAACGGATGTTCTCAAGAATTCACAACACCGGACCATAGAGGCCCAGGAACTTATAACGAAAACCTGGCAAAAGTATCCTTCCCTGATTTGCCTACGCTCTACGCCATAGCTCGACGAGCTAAGCTGGAGACGATTATAAATGTGTGGCAGGGGCTTTACAGCAAACAAAGACCGGTTAGGTTATAACGCGTAGGCATGAGCGATGCGGAAAACCAGCTATTAATCAATAAATTACTGAAGCCAGTGAAGAGAGACAATCTGCAAAGGGCTGCATTGGAATTAATGATAAAAATTAGCGTCCATAAACTTCACGTTCATTAAACACAGCTTAAGGGAATTATTTATGAGCCAGTGAGTCAGTCTAACGGAATGAACAACCCGATCTCAACCCACTCTGCATTCTAACTCATGAACCATTTCAAACAAAAACACCAAAACGACACCAAGCAGAAACATGACCCCAGTGGCTTCCAACTCCCCCTAGTGTCAGTCGATATTTCAACGAACTCTTGCGCCGGTCTATTTACACCGAGTCGTGTATTTACATCGAGTGTGTTCCCGGTAGTCTGTGAGCCACGGGGGAGGGTAGCAGGAGGCACTTCCTTCCGCGTGTGAGAGTGATGGGAGGCGATTGAAGGCGGTTATGTTTGTAGCAGCAGTGGTGGTGTCAGGGGAAGATAGGTGTCAGGGAGATATGACACAAGCGTCATGGGAGATATGATAGGTGTCGGGGAAGAAGAAATGTTACGTGCTAAGAAAGATGACACATAAAGTGATCAAACTAGCATCAAACCAAATTGAGGAGATGAGGGGTTAGGTGTAAGGGGAGATGGTAAACGAGTGTCGAAGGGAAGATGTCAGGTGACAAGCCGGGCGATTAGGTGTCAGGGGTAGAATGATCGCAAAAGTGGCATAAGCATACAATCATGGTTATGAGGGAAGAAATATCAGGAAGTGCCAATGATTGATACCAATGATGTCGTCAAATTGTGTGCAGATAAAATCGTAGCTTATCCCTCGGGGATTGGAAGATAATGTTTCGCGGCTAGCCCGCAATAAGGAAGTCAGAAAACAAAAACAGCGTGGTGTCGCAGCCTAAGTAAAGCAGGGCGCCAACCGCCGGTGCCAACGGCAGGCGACAGGCCAAAACAATCACAGCAGCGCCAGCCGAGAGGAAAACTAGACAGAAACGAGAGGGCGACATAAATGGGCGCCGTATGTACATGCTTTGTACGCTGAGCATGATGTTTGTTCTATCATGCATTGTATGTAGCGGGCAACACTCAGAGTGGACTCTGTTTGACTCGTTCCGGAACAACTCGATGGGCACTCGATGGTTGGTATCCGGTTTCTAACGGCCGAAGGCTAGCGATGACCAAACGTGTCGGACAAGCACCCTACACCCCTGGGCGCAGATCAAATGTCCCTCGCCCCGCCGCCTTCCCCTTCCATCTCTCAGTAGCATAGCCGCATAGCTGCACGGACTGCCGAGGTCACGTGCTTCTCACCCCACCCGCAGCCGAAGGTCACGTGGTCGCACCGCACCGCAACACGACCAACGCACGATCGCGCGCCGGAAGGTCACGTGATTTGCACCATTGCGGAGCAGCCAACACACGTGACTTGCATGACACGCACAGCATTAGGGTGCATTACCGACGCACGAAAGCACCGATCGTCACGTGATTTTTACCATTATCGTGCCAATAAATCACGTGACTTGCACGACAGATGCCATGAAACCATTGCGTGACCTAATCGCGGGGTTCACGATCCTGTATTTTAGAACATTAGCCACGAAACGTTCAGTTACCGACCAAACTCTTGTGCCCAAAACAACAACAGCCCGATAACCGCAGGCAAATAGTTGGCATGTGGCGAAGAGAACAATAGCGCGCTCGAATGCCTATGGGTTTATCGTTGATGGATTGTTCATGTGAGTTAAAAAGAAACACTGCCGTAAAAACTACACCCTTGGTTGCTGGTAGCTGATGTAGATTTTAGCATACATACACTTCGAAATAACCCAGTTTGTCGTTATGCTTTTGAGCATAGACCTCTGTATACACTATACAGTCTTCAGAGGTCTATGGTTTGAGTCAACCTTCTTATGACGGTGTAGGGAGTCGGGTAACGAGTATTATTCACCGTTACCAATAAACTAAATAATACTGATGACCTAATTGGTCTCGGCAAGCCACCGCGTCTATAAACTCGCATCTCTCATTTGATGATCTCAGCGTTCCGATTCGTCTCACACCCATCGGTCCAATTTAGCGCCCACCAGATTCTCAGCCACGTCTTACACCATCCCCTGCCAGCCCACACAGGTGTCAGAACGTGCCTGTACATTATAACCACCGCCCACCACACGCCCCTGCAGGTATCAATAGAGTTCAAATCCAACGAATCCGCATTCCGTGCATAGTCTAGCGGGCGTGCCGAACGGTAGCATTTCCACGCAATCTCTCTACTAAACAGAACCGATAGAGAACTATTGGATGATGTCAAAGTGTACGGGAAAACGATACTGATGTTTGTGTTTGCTGTGTGGCTTGGTCAAATGCTGCAATACAGACAGCCGGTCAAAACAGAGACTCTGTGTGCATGAAGTTTGGCACTTCCTGCAGTAAAGCAGCGCAACTAGGCAAATAGCCATGGATTGACAAGCCTTCGAGAGGAGAGCAACAGTAAATTAATGACAATCGCCTAACGTTCGCGGATAACACAAAAGAGCATCCCAAAGCAAAGGAAAACTTATGACAAAGGTAACTGGAAAGTCAAATTCAATCGAAATGCACTGAATTATGATTATATATTTGAGATAAACGTTCATGGTTTTGAGTTCGAGTGAGCAAAGAAACAAGGATTAATTTTTTTCGCAAGAATGCACGTGAGCCAACTGTCACATTTTCGCCAGGAATCACTTTCGCCTTTGCGAGCAATTATCATCGCACCTCAGCAAAATAAGCACGTCAAGACCACCAGGCGCTCAAGGAAACACTAATTGGTATGGTATGACGGGTATCAAAGATATGACGCAAGCTCGTAAGGCTCATATCTCCCAGAGCGATGCGCCCACTGTGAAGGACATCGCCCATATTACATTTGCTCACACACACCAACCGATATCTCTGTTACCCTCGCAGCAATTAACGGAACGGAAGTGCGTCATTCGCACATTTTGGCATCGAGTTTCTCGGTGGAAATTATGTGCTCTAGCGTTACCAAAAGACTGTAGCAATAAAGGGAACAAGCTTCCGCAACTGTCGGCGACTTTGTTCATAAATTAGGGCCGAAAGTTTGCAATGAGAGCCGTAGCCTGGCATGAGAGCATCCACCACGAGCCAGGCACGTATCCAGGATTTCGCTCAGGGGGGGGGGCGACAGTCGAGAAGGGCCCGGAGGTCAGCCAAAAGGGGCCCCACAGCGACTGCCTATCCTGGCGTGTAAAAATTCGAGAATGTCGAAAAACAGCAAATTTACGATAGAATTTGGCATTGTAAATGAAAATGCATTGTCTTGCGTTTCTCGACCTTGATAACATGTTTGCAGTTAGCTTCCGTTGAAGTTCGTTTTTGCAGTTCACTTCCGTTGAAGTTCGTTAACCCTCGCATGTGTGCGGCGTTTGCCAGCTTCTAATGTGTAGGGGGGGGGGGTCGGTTGGACCCCCCCCCCCCCCCTTGCCGTTTGGCCCCTGATCGAGCTAGAGCTTCGCGGAAAAAACGAGCGTGTTGCCCGTGACGAGAGGAAGCCGATGATACCCAATTTTAAGGTCCTAGGTCATTGGTTGACCTTCCAGGTCAGGTCAATGACCCAAAGTCGGGAAAATCGGGACCTGTTAGAAAGTCGTAAAGTGTGGCTGCTAAGGGGTTTTTCGGGGTGCTGATCACGAATATCGTGTTAGTTTTGATCACAGATGATGTCTTGAAGCATTTAGACCAGGTCGGGTCAGGTCAGGTCAGGTCAACCAATAGGCGTCGTGACGGGTATTCGTAGTACGTGTCAACCGCCTCTGACAGCTTCGTAACATGTTACGAAGTCACCAAAACTACTTCGTAAATGTTCAAATGGTTGCTAAATTCGAATTCAGCTCCAAAAACTAGCCTAGAAACATGTAAAACTCGAAAAAGTGACCCTAGGTCACCCGAGGTCACCAAAGGTCAATGACCTGACCTGACCTTCAGGTGACCTTGACACACACGGGAGTAACATCAAATCACATGTTTGAACGTTTGAAACCACGAAAAGCTTGCAAACACGCGGCTAGTGCGAGCCGACATACGCGAAATCGCGATTCCGGCCAAACATGGTCTCGGAAAAGAGGTCACAGGTCAAAGGTCATTTGGGTCAGGGTCATGAAATTTTCAGGGTAGGTGTCAAATTGATCAATGCGAGGGTACTGAAAGTTTCGTCGCGATCGGCCGCTTTTTACGCGAGTTATTTGCGAAAAAACATGGGGGGGGGGTCCATCCGACCCCCCCCCCCCTACACATGCGAGGGTTAACCCGCGCCCGGCCGGGGGGGGGGGGCTGTTTGAACACCTCCTCCTTGCGGTTGTTATCGTGAATAGCGGGAAAACCGCGGCGCGTAGCGCCGCGAAATTTGGCATGACTATTTTCTCATTAATTTTACACATGGTGTGCAAGTTTGAACCTCCTAACTTTTAAGGTCAGATCACCAGGTTACTTCGAATGACCCAACCTCAAATCACTTTTTTGCAACTTTGTCACGTCGTGTCAGAGCTACAGTAGATAACGGAGTATGATTCGATGCGGATTGACGAGAGGATCACGATGGTGCCCTTAGTTTGTTCCTAGCTTGGCTAATTCGAAAGTTATTCGAGAAAAACTCTTCATATCTAGCGCCGCCATTTTGACTTTTTTACCCCTGTGACGTCATCTTTGACCTGATCTGGAAATGACCTAATTAAAAATTGTAGACCTTGTCCGTGCGTATACCCCATGCCGTTTACCGCTTGTCGCTATCTTGCTTCGTTCTTGAGATCTCAGGGGGCGGGCGGTCATCCGCCCCCCCCCCCCGTCGGTTCTAAGTTGGCGCGGACCCCCGTCGGGGCGCGGGTTAATCGCAGGTCAATTCTGAGAACAGTTTACGGAAAGAACGTTAAAAGAACTATTGAATGCGTTTTTTCTCGTGGCGCTGCAGCTCTGTTTGTACCCGGGTTATGCGCCGGAGTTGTCAAACAATGTTGAAATAGGCAAAATGTGACCTTTGCTGACTTATGGTGACCTGACCTTTGACCTGACCTAGAAAATGACCGAGTTACTTTCGGCATGATTTTTTACGCTCTTCCGAATGCCACGTACGCTTACGTGTCGCTACGCGGCCCAGGAGCCGAGTTAGAGAGAGAGGGTGTTCAAACGCCTCCCCCACCGCCTGTCCCAAACGCCATCCGTGGCGCAACTATGGAGCTCATTTTGTTCGGAGAACTGTAAACAGGAGCAGCCCCATGAGGTCAGTCGAAAGGGTCCCATCATCGGCTGTTGCCTGTTCCTCGGGCCCCATGGCCTGGGCAGGGCCTTCTCAGCGGGCCCTTCCGTTTCTGGGGCCCGGCCAGGACAAGCTGTTTCTGAGACTGGGCACGGAAGTGTATATCTGGGCTCGCTTTCTTGATACGTTGTCGAGGCCGAGGGACCAATACTTAAGCTCAAAAGCCTGCTTCAAGGCTTTCTGAGCGGGCCCTTCCGCTTTTGTAGACCTCCCGGGCCCCCGGTTGTCATTGGCTTGGCCCGGTCCGCTTGTGGGGCCCGGCTAGGGACCCATATGACCACCGGCAAGACCCTATGGGCCCTTTTTGGACCCGAAAGCCTGGGCAAGATCTTCTCAGCGGGCCCTTCCACATCTAGGGCACAGACAGGCCCTGTGACTGGGCACGGAAGAGGATTTTTTTCGGATCCGCTAACCATAACTTCTCCGGGGCCAATTAGCTCAAAAGCGGTACCTTTGGGCCCGATAAGGGACCCGTTTGGAGTCCGGCAGGGCCATAGGGGCCCTTCCTCAAGCTCGAAGGCTCGAGCATATCCTTCTGAACGGGTCTTTCCGCTTTTGGGGCCCTGCCGGGCTCCAAATTGCCCTCGCTCTGCCCAAAAGTGGGCCGAAGGGCCCAGTTACGGACCTGTTTGTGGCCCGGCAGGGCCCCAGGGGCCCATCCGCGAACCAAAAAATTCGAACAAATCCTTCTGAACATGCCCTTCCGCTTTTTGGCCCAGCCGACCCCAAATTGTTCCTGGCTAGGCCCCAAAGCGGGCCCTTCGGGCCCGCTTTCTTGCTGCCTAGCGGGCCCTGCCGGGCCCGCTTTTGGGGCCCGGCAGGGCCCAGGGGGGGGCGACCGCCCCCGTCGCCCCCCCCTTGGATACGTCCCTGCCACGAGCGCACTAATTGAAGTCAGTAGTGAAATACTATCGCCCGAGCCACTCGCCGGTCGCCATGGCAACCAAAGTTCAGATCGTGACACACCGCGACGCAGTACATTTTGATGAGACTAGAATTTGATAAACTTGATAGCAGGATGGTGGTCTTGTTCAAAGCAAGGCTAGAAAGCATCATTAGGTACTGCTAGCCATTGCATTACGATGAGCTATGACACCAGCAGTGAGACGTGCTCATCATTAGCCCTGTTCAATAATATTCAACTTGTTAATATTGTGATTACAGAATCTCTTTTTTTTTGTAAATAAATTAACAGTCCTCCATCTGATTCCATAATAGGGACCCTGGGACATAGTGAACGAAACCGATGCCATTTATCACTCAGTAGTAGGTATCTCACAGCACAACTCAAAACAAAGCTTCCAAACAAGCACATTTGATCAATGGGTAAGTAAGCAATAAACCCATGGACTAAAAGACCATACAGGGCCCATTACAACAACTTTGTCCTCCATTCCATACCTACTTTAGTCCTACTTTGTCCTCCATTCCATACCTACTTTAGCACCAGCCCAGTCTTACTCCTCTGCCATTTCGCCTGCTTTGCTGATTAGCCCTTCCAGTGAAAAGCCACACTAACAATCTCGGCTCAGATAGTTCCAGCGACCTCAATTTTCAGTCCTCTGGTTAAGCACTCATCCTACCTTTATCCACGTCCTAGGCTGTTCCACCCTCTCCAATAGTCTGCTGTTTTGGTCAGGTTCATCTACTTTTTCTCCTCTCGCCACAATCCCATTCCATCCACCTCGATAGCCCGGCCAGTCTCCCTGAACACCAATATTTCCAGCTCATCCCCGCTGGTTCGTTCCACACCTCAATAGTAATCATCTACCTCATCATCTACCTCAATGTTTCTACTGTTTCAGTAATCAACACCTATATTTTCAGCTCTCTCCCGCCGGTCCATTGCACCCACCTCGATAGTGCGCTGTTCCGGTTCTCTTTTCAGGCTGACCAGGAAGTTTGGGTCCAGTTTGATATCACTCATCGCTGACACCTGAGCAGCCGCTGCATCCTCCCGCCAGCGCGGCTACTCGCGAGAGTCACACATCAGTCCTTCCTCTCAGATGTGTAGACGGCTGGTGGACGTGTGCGAAAACCTGGAAAGTCATCGTCATCGTAAGTCATCCAGTTCAGGTAGTGACACATCCATGTATTTTGGGCCTGTGAGTTGGTTCGGGTGCTTTGAAATTCATTTGGATATTATATGCTTCCAGGGCCCTGCTCCAGTGGCAAAACTCAACTGAGGGCTACTGGTATTGCCACTCGTTAAAAAAAATAAATCTAGCTTGAACCTTTGAATGAAAAGATTGACAGAGCCAGAGCCTACACTAAGCAGAGCTTGTTGCTCAAACTCCGACCCTACCATCCGATCTGCAATTTCGGGTAACGGGAGAATTTATATACCAAAGTTTAACATGCCTATCTAAGTTGGACACGGCCTGTCCCAAGCAGCCACCTTCAACTTGCTGCGGCTGCTCCCACCAACCGCTGACCATCCCCATCACAAGTCTCAAATATCGAGCCCAGAATGACTGAAACCAGTGAGTCCAATACTCTACAACTGAGCTACTGGACTGGTGGTTTCCATGGAAGCATAAGCAGAATGCTACTGGACTGGTGGTTTCCATGGAAGCATAAGCAGAATCACTACTTTTTTACTATTGTTTTCATATATGCCAAGTGCCAATACGAGTAACACCATGCTGCCAAAACAGGGCCCAGAAATGTATTTGTCCTAGTCAGAAAATCTGAATGCATCAGATGCTTTTCAGTTTTCAATTTTTAACATCTTTGAAATATCAGTTTATGAAAATAATATTGTCTTGGCTTTCGATATACATATCTGAGCAGTATTTGCCTCAAAATTTGAGAATGACTGCTCATAATTGTTCAATACAACAACACAATACAATACCATACAATGCATATAAATTATAAATTTCAATGCTTTCAGAAAGCATTAGTTTCAGATACCACATGAGCAGATCATGACACTATTTACACCTATTTGCAAGTGGGTAATCTGAGAATTGATTATCAATTTGTGTTATCTTACACCTACAAGTTTCCCAATACAGTTATACCATGTAACCATTAACATTGACATTGTTCAATAAATAACAACTTAGGTTTAGATTGGCCTAAACACACTTAAATATCCAGTTCAACCAACCAATGAAAATTCATACCACAATTTTCCTACCAGATTCCGGAGCAAACACTAGAGAGAGGCTCGGATTGTATCTTCATTTAGTTCTACCACATTAAGTTTATATATAATTTAGAAACATGAAATGTACAGAAATTCAAGATCACAGAGCTAGGTTCCCGATAATATCGATAGAGCAAACACAAAACATTGCTGGTTTGCTCCCATCTGGTGATATTTGGCAGGCTGCCAAATTTCAAATAAACCTGTTGCGCTGGCATATTACTGGGTAACTATAAACAAATCCATAAATTAACATTTAACAAAAGTATTATAACAACAATGAGGAATGTAACAATTCAAAAAATGCAGCATTATATCATTCTTTGTCCAAACAGCACACATTCAACAAGTGAGCCTTCAATGATTGGTATTTTAACAGTTGTTATGATAGCAAGCATTCGCTAATGCACTTACAATGTCAGATGATATTTACTAAATTCATGGAACAATACACAAAAGAAATTATATTAGTAAAATGAAAAAATAAGACAGTTCTCAAACTAAGCTAATGGCAAAAATTGTGAGACATTTGTAGCGCATCAAGTCCAATGATCAAACAAGATGATCTTAGCCACCAATGTGTCAAATAACATCATTTGAAGTAAATGCTCACCTAATATTCACATGTGTCCATTCGGACAACACATCACACAAATCAAAACAATGAAATGCACACCTACACACAACGCGTTTACAAACTTTCGCAACTGTAGTGATGGGCAAGCAGTTCAGCGAGTACTTTACTTTCGAAAGTTTCTAGGTACTGGTACTGACTTATGCAGACAAGAAGCTTGTTTAAACTTTTTATTGGAAACAATTTTAAATAAAAAAGAAATAACAAAGTGTTTCCACTCTAAATATGAACAACTGCGCTCGATTCTTAGTACTCTTATGATACATCTAGACCCGTGAAGCTTCGTGTCTACTAAAGCTTCTAAGCTTCACCGCTAGATGTCACGAATAGCACGGTACATAGAATACTAGGTAACACCGGTTTGTCCGCTCAACACAGGGTCAATGGTCACCACTTTCTTCAGCTGACGTCTGTGACCTTGAGCTGACCTAGGACGATAAACAGCTGACAATTTAAGCTATTTGGAACTCACTTGACAGCTGAAGAGCGTGATTTAAATTATAAATATTTGTCAGACACTGACAAAAGATATTATTCACCAATCATTTTTTAAGCATGTTCTGTCATAAATTAGCTGACTCCCTCTGGTCTTCCACACGACAAAAAATGCAAGTGCAAATTCTGTCATCTTGAAGTGAACCAAACGCTTATGATACACATGATCGTTTCTCTCAGAGCACAACGAAAACTGCGAGAAAACAAGAGAGAGTCGGACTCTACAAATGGATGGATTTGGAAGAAAAATAGCTGTATTTTTTCCTGTGGAAATGTTGACTTTGAAAACATTGGCTATCAACTTTAAAATTGCCCCCAAATATGAAAATGTGGGAATTGACAAAACAGGCAATCTTGCTGTTTTTGCCCAAGTTTGTTCATGATTTAGAGAGATTCGATGCGAAAATGCACTGATAAATACTTTTGAAAGCGAGGTCTCGATCCGTGTATTAATTTTGATTTTTAATTTAACGCTAGTCCCACTTTTTCTTCCAAGAAAATATTTTTGTCAATTTTTCACTAATTCTTTTATGCGTCATTGCTTTAAAAAATAAAGAGAGTCGGACCGTAATTCTTTCAAAATGACTGATCGTGCTAATAATCTATCGGAATATATCAACAGATCCGTCAGACTCATTGGCTAAATATGTTTAAATTGCATTTTTCTTACTTTCTGCAGATTTTGCTGCAAAATTTTACTGTAGTTTTAGCTGCGTTTCCTGCAGATTGTGTTCACAGACCAATGGGAGACAAGTATTTCTTCATCAACAGGTTTATTCGCCACCAATTGGTCTAGCGGGTGTTTTTCGTATGCGCAGCTTATGTCACAGCTGCGTAAGAACACGTTCACTATAAATCATTATGGATATTTCTTTTCAGAATATCAATCAATATCAATATCAAAGGTCAATGTGTTTCGTTAGATTTGTGGCGGCGGGATTATCGTCATTAACTAATTACTTGATATCAGATTTTAATGGGGAGTGGTGTAATTCCCGCACGACTGTTGACTTTCATTGTAATTGCCTGAGCTTGAGCTGGTTCCTGGGCTGCCTCAGATAGCAGGATGGTGTGTCAAGTATCAGCTTGACAGGAAGGTACGTAGTACGTACCCAGACACTGAAATTTCTGTGTAATTTGCGCCAAAAATTAGGTACCTATTTGTGCGAAAATTAAGCCCTTTTTATATAAAGCACGTGCACATTACCGATCAAGGCTATATCAAGGCTATGGCGTCCGCCGCCATGCGCCGAATTCGGCGCATGCGAAGTTACCTACGCCGGACATGCGCTGAAATTTTCGGCGCAATCCCGCCACTATGCCGGACATATTAGGCATAACGTGTATTATTTCCAGTCTGGTACAAAACAAAAATCAAACCTTACCTAACCCCATGTTGCATGTTCATATGAACTGTAGATCAGATATTTTTTTTTTAACAAATACCCGTCTTTCATCCTTTCAGCATACCTACAACCTACTAAACAGCCTTGGTATCAACCTAGCATTCATACGTCATCTGCACATACATATTGATATATGTGGTATGTTTTGTTCAGTAGGTTATATGTAGTAGGTCAGCCGTCAGGTGCCTACATGCTATCATTTGTCATGCTTTGATTTCAGATGGTGTCTTGTGGGCTTTATAGTGGGCGTTGTGGCCCTCTTGCAAGGGTTAAGTGTTGATGCACATATGACATAATGCAATGTGTTTTTTCCATGGGCGCAGGAACCTCACGTAAAGTTTGGGGGGGGGGGGGGCAGAGAACTTCAATGTCACTTTGTGGGAACCCTAATACCCCTATGAACAAATTCTTTGCAGTTTCGTGCTCATCTCACCTTGCCGAACCATTTCTTGCTCTTAGTTTTGAATTTAAATGAAAAATAAATATTTTACTTTAAAAATTAGCATAGCTGAAAAGTGGGGGCATGCCCCGACAGCCCCCCCTCCGCTCCTACGCCTATGGTTTTTCTTAATGGTACAAATCATCCACATTTATATGTGAAGGGTAGGTAGCTACCTACAGAACCAAATCAATGCCTCAATTGCTCATTGTTTTCTTACAATAAGTCCCTCCTCTGCCAATCGCAGTAAAGTATCTACTGTCACAATGCAGTGTGCGTCATGATTTCTCAACTCTATGCTTACAATATATTTCCATTTGTCAATCACATATTGTTTTTTTTTTACAGGCTTTCCGGTTATGACTGAGGCCGGCATCTCACCTGTCCTGGCTACGCCAAATCACTGCGGATGCCGGATGCCGAGGACCGGAGAGCCAACCGCTTTGAGGCGTGAGCTCTGTGGCGTGGCTCGAGTGACGGCTACGGCGCCGTCGACCTGGTTGAATAGCTGGGGCCTAGACGAGGGTGCCCTTAGTACGGTGGCCAATCGGTTACGTCCGAGGGGCGCTCGAACAGGCTGCCGTCGCGTGGCTGCCGGCGGCCGCCCCCTCGCACGTGAATCTCCTGGAGCCAGGACTGCGGGAGGCGGCTGCATCATCACCTGTGTCCGCGCTCAACACCGTGCCACGCACTAATGGCGGAAGCCCGACTTTCTCCGATGGAGGAGAGAAGCTGGACGCTGGCTGCCAGGCTGCTGGGGTGGGCGCTGGCTCTGCCATCAGGGGACCCCCTGCGCGCGACCGCCAAGGCCTCGGCACCGGCGCGCCTGTCTTCGGTCCGAGGCTGGAGATTGCGAGGCCGCCAGGCCTGGGCGAGAGCGAGAATCCCACCGTGTCAACAGACGGCTGGCGTCACCTTCCGGTTGGACGTGTGCCCGATCCGGGCTGGGGCCACGGCGGCGGAAAGGGAAAGCGTGGCTACGCTGCACCTCGCGTTCCTGCCCCTGTGTGCTGTCCGGCTTTGGACGTACGGATCTGCGGAGGGCGGAGTCTCCAGGTGCTGGGCGGGAGCCGTGCTGGTCTGACTGTATTTGTATTTGTATTTGTATTTACATTTAAGAGCGATCCACATACAAAGTGCGTGGCGATTACTGCTCAGAATCCGTATCCGCGGCTGCTAATCTAATCATTCAAAACATTTGCACATTCACTCACGTCAAAACAAGGACAAGGCTGGACGAAGAGGCCGAGGAACTGCGGGCCCCGGCCGGAGAGCTGTGCTTTAGCTACCGCGCGGAGATGGTGGCGCTGGTGACCGGTCCGGAGACCCTACTCGGAAGAGACAGAGACCAGGACCTGCGTTCCGTAGCTATCTGCTAACTGTGCGGTGGTGCTGGTGTAGTGCAGCATTTTTGGATGGATAGCTACATTTCACGATTAAATAGCTGTTACGTTTCAGTGCAGGTGGCGTGACGAACAATGTGGTAGTTACCTGTTGGCCACTTCTGCGGCCGCTGCTATTTCCTACTCGAAGGCGGGCGCGCTGTTTGGCTGGGCCGCCAGGATGTTCCCATTATGTGTCGACGACAAAGCGAGTATATTCGTGTTCTTTTAATGCACAGAGGTCTGTTGTATATTTGAAGTTCTATTTTAAGTTGACGATTGCGAAGGGCAGATTCATCTTCTCTCTTTCATTTGTGTTGCCACTTTATCGTTCATGTTTGTTATAAGTGTCCATGCGGCTTGGTTGTCATCTTTATTCCTGATGTATTTTATTTTACGAACATGCTGGTGATCAATGCAATACACTTTTGGTTAATAATGCTGCTTTAGCTCTGATCCTTTGTGGTATGTCTTGACTGTACTACTGCGATAGCGATTTTTCCTCACCAAAATATGCAGGCAACCAATGTAAATGCTGCCAAAAGTTTGTCATTACGTGATGTATCTAAGAAACATCGAGTTCCTGAACGTGGTCGTGTACTACGTAACCGGAAACTCAATAGGACGCAGAATTACTACAGAAAAACTACAGAAGTGAGGCTGGCCACGCCAAAATCAAGTGAGATATGTCTAGCCTTTCTTCAGCCGCCAAGGCTTCGATAGACTATCCCCGGGTTCGGTGTCTCTCGAACTACGAAGATTCAACGTCGTCCGGCCAATCCTGGTTAAGGTCAGCGGGGATTTAGCTGTGGTTATGGAACAGGATTGGCCGTCCGAGAGACTCCGAACCTGGGGTATGTTGCAGCACAGCTATGTCGACCGAGTGTCGTCGCAAGCTGCACCACTAGACGAGAACAAATGAAACCGTCCCGTCCTAGGCTGACTAGGCTTAGCTAGGTGGCAGCACAGTCGCACCGGCAGGGGGCAGTGCCACAACCAGCCGACTGATATTTTCGTGTGACGTCAGAACCGGTGCCTCCCTGACGAATAGCGATTAAATGAATCCTCAAGGGCGTTGCCGCGACTCGCTGAATGAATGAATGAATGAATGAATGAATGAAATGAATGAATGAATGAAGAATGAATGGGGGCGATTAATGCATGACTGAGTGATACTCACCATGCCCACGTTAAATATATTAATTTTTTGCGGCTTCTGATATCTCCTCTTGTCCAAGCTTCTGGTCCGGCTGGGCCCGCCCGCCGGCGCATTCTCGACTGAGCCTCCAGAGCCGTTGGGCTGCAGCCACCCAACCACTGCAGCCCCAGCGGTTGGTCTGCAGCCCCAGCGGTTGGTCTGCAGCCCCAGC